ATCCACTGGGGCTCTTAAGTTCTTAATCCAAGACACATTTTTCTCCATCCTTAATATAGTCTTAGCTTAGCTGACTGCTTTAAGAATGTTGCTGATGCTATATCTGAATTCCTCTTTCCTTTAGGCAGGCAAACATTTAATTACATCCTCTTTACAACACTCCTGTTTACATCTTTAGCATGCAAGATCAAAAACATAAAGGTTGCCTATTTCACATCATGGATGTAGTGATATCCTAAATTAATTAGCTACAAAAGCATTTCTAGCTTCAGAGTTCATTTGATGTTCTCTCCAAGGATGAACCTCCTACCTACTCGCTGCATTAAAAATAATAAAACTAGAACTTAATAATAATGTTTCATTTAAAATATGAATTTACACTTCTGAGAGACAGGACATATCTGCAGAACACAAGCTTAGGGCAAAAGTAGATGCGCAAAACATGAAGTGTAAATAAACAGCAGTCAGGTTTTGGGTTCAACTTTCCTGGGGTTTGAAGGAGGTGAGAGGAAGAAAAGGGGATGGAACCTTAGCCTTGGAGTAAAGTGTGATCTTTCTCCCCTCTGGTTATCTCCCTCCCTCCCCTCCTTCTTGACAAGGTGTCTGAATGGGTTCACACACTGTGTACTAGATGTAGTGGCTTCCTCGGGTGCCTTGCAATCTGTTAGGGAATGGGGGGCCTTGCACTCTTTCCCTTTATTCAATACACGCACCTGTCTTTGCCACCATTGCACACATCTTCTGTTATGCCTTTGGTAAGATTCTTTCCAGATCAAGTGTTGCATTCCCACTGTGATGCCCGAGTTCCCTGTGCCAGAACTTAAGGCAATCTGTACTTGCATAGGACTTTATCACTTTTGCCTGTTTCCTTGTGCAGTCTAATTCAACAGCACCCTAAAGGCTCCAGCTGGAAATTCCCCCCGGACGTTAATTCTGCCTTTGAAATCTCAGATTCAAGCAAATTTCATTGTATTGCCTCATCTGCTGTTACTCCACAGCTTCTTGGTTGCAGCACTGCTCTACAGCCAGCTATGACGGTTGCTCCTGAACTTAATTCCAAAGCCAGTAGGTGGAGGAGAATTAACAGTTGCCATGGTTTATTTCAATTTTATTGGGCATTGTGTGTGTGTGTGTGTGTGTGTGTGTGTGTGTTCCCCAGCAAATGATGAGTCACCATGGAAAGAGTTCATTGCAGGTTGAAAGTTGGAAAGCGACCAATTTATACTGGTGCATATTTCTGTTCCTGAGTGTTGTGGTGGATCACAATGTCTTGCTGCTGCACTAAATTTGAAAGATGCATTATGGCAGCAATTACAGCACATGGCAAGACAATTTTGTCAGGAAGCATGATGAGGTTTCTGGGATGGGGCCATCCAAGGTTAATGAAGAAGAAATAGATGGTGTCACTAGCAGTTAAGAGGCAATTCGAAAAACATGCCGGTGACACTGATGGGAGAGAGAAAACCACAAGGTGGAAAAGTCACGTATAGAACTGGGATGGAGGTCCACAGGCTGAATACAGCCCTCGGGGCAGGCCATGCCTCACTCCCAAGCTCCACCTCTCTCTGCCCCTGCTCCAATCTCTCCTTGAGAGCTTTTGTAAGGTTGGAACGTGTCCTTGAACAGTGGCAACGCTCCTCCTTGCCTGGCTGGAGAGATGCAGAAACCTTTGGCTATTGTGGGGATGGAATGTAGCCTTCAGTACAAAGGAAAGAGCCACATCCACGTTAGCTTCTGACCCTGCTAACCTTTGCCTCTGACCAAGCTCTGCATTGTGTTGGCAAAGCAGCAGACATTTCTGGTGCTGATCCTGCACTGTGCTGAGCTCCCAGCTGCCTTGAAACCCCCCTGCCTTGGTAACTCGCAGGAGGGCAATGCAGTCTCACCTGCATCACATTGCTAGCTGCTATTAGCTACCATCAAACATGGACAGATAATAAACCCTCCTCTTCCCTTTTTAATGAGAAGCAGCAATCAGGTAAGAACCATAAGATTCAAGTGTGGTTGCCTTTTGCTGATTTCTCTTGCCGCACCATAAATGTATCCTTCCTCATGTCACATATGAGGAATGGAGGGTGGCTTGCACATCCGTTGAACTCATTAACTGGCTTGAAAAGCTGAACACAAAATGCTAAGCCCCGTGGCAGCGTGTTATAATTGTGCTTTCCCACTGGGAACAGAGTTTAACACTTTGGGGCAGTCTGGCAGAGAGCCAGGGTGTTCTCTAACAAGGATGGTCAGAAATGAGGTACAAAAGAGGATAGAGGAGTCCCCAGAGATAATAGCTGAATAATATGAATCCAGCCATGACCTACCTGTGAATGTGTTAACTACCATAATAAATCTCCACCTATAGAACCACCTGGATAAAAGCAGGGAGTTTTTTTCCAGCTCTGCAAAACCTCCCTTTCTAATAAGCTGCCTGCAAAGGTTGGAAATAAAAGAGCTGCAGTGGTCCACTTCCACCTACCACTATGGCTGAAAGCTTCCAAACATTTCTCAGAGAAGCTGGAAGTTCCCAGGTTAAAAAACAGGAAAGCCTAGAAAGGCATTGGAGCCTTTAAACTATTAGGGCCCTTTAAAGTGGTCATATTTTAGGTTAGGAGACGGAAATGTGCAAGTGTACAAGCACACCTGGATTCAAAGCAAGACCTAGTGTCATACCTAGTGCTTTTCTTCTAGAAAAAAATGGCTGGTACCCACTATGAAGTTATTACAGTAAGTGCCACAATTTTAACCCTTGAGTATCTCCAGAAAAAAGTACTGGTCAAACCCTCTAACACATCAAGGTGAAAAACTGGGACACTTTCTTCTGGGGCCACCCTTTTTTTGGGGTGAGATTGTGGCATCCAAAATGGCCGCTGTCCTCTCACATGAAAGAACACGATGTCCCGGTTTTCCCCAGACAGTTGAGGGGTGTGCTGTGTGTGCAAGTCTCAATTCCTTCTTCTCAATTAGCTCTGTTATATTACTATTGACATCAAAGGAAATTTAGCATGCCCTCTTAGAAAACAGTTTTATCATTGCTTCTTAAGTGGGCCTATTAAGTTTCATTTGAATTCCAAAGTGCTCTTTTACACATACATTACATGGCTTTGTACATACAACAGTATATTATCATCCCCATATTGTAGATGGGATGCTGAAATGTAGAGAGTTGAACTCACTTAGTGAGTTAAAGGCAGGGGCAGGTTCTAAGCGAGAAGCTTCTTGTTAACGCAGCTCTGTTGTTTACCCACAGCACTATGTCAGCAGCACTTCTGTAGCCTCACCTCCAACCCCAGTCACCCATGATGCCTAAAAAGGTGTTCCCCAAACAGGGAAGGCTTGTTGAGCATAGCAGTATAAGATGATGCTTTTGGGGAAAGAAGGGTAAGTTCAAAGTGCCTAATCTATTGACAAGATAAAGAGAGGAAAAGGAAACAAAGATAAGTATCTAACTTTGTGTTTAGATTTTGTGAGTCACCATGAAATGTCATAAAGGCACATGATTATTCCTTCGTGCTCATGTAGCAAAAGTATTGGAGTACTGAGGATTTGGAAACAAGGAAGCAGTGAGCCCATGGATGCCGATATTACGTTGTTTTGTGTGTGTTATAGAAAGGCATTCCACCTTCGCATTAGTCCTTTAATTGCCCTGTTACATTAGGTGCCTCTAAAGCAAGAGCAATAGTCCCACCAAACCTCATAAATATTAATAGTCCAGAAATAACTTTTAGGCTAGTCCCACATGAATGGCTATATTATGCAAAAGAACAGCATGCAAGCACAGACAGGCAGACTTGTGGGAGGCGATTAGAATGTACGAGCGGATCTATCCAGACATCTAAATCACATTTTCTAAATACCATTATTCATTTCAATTTTGGAGCTAGCATTTTTATGAGATTTATTGTAATTTGACTCCCCAGGTGCTAAAGAATTTAGAATGGCTGTCAGAAGCTGTATCTTTGGGGAATTGCAATCTCTAAATAACACTGAAGGGAAACGTGTTTCAAAGTAATGGGAATTACATCAAATATTACCTTGGTCCCTGCACAGTCCAACGTTCATTAGCTGCAACAAATGTATCACTGTGCTGTATTTCCCAAGGGGCCACAGAACCCCCAAAAGTTCTAGCAAATGCAACCCTATGAAGGTTGGGGGAAGAGGGAGATAGTGGTGGAGAAACTGCCACTTCCTAAGCCATGCAGGGCCCATACCTGGAAGGATGGAAGGGAGCAACATTCCCCCCTCCTCACTGTTGTTTTTCCTTTTTTAGGATATTTTCCCTTCAGTTTGTTCCAGTGGGAGGGGAAATGTCTGAACCAGATACAAGGCTGATGTAGTTTCTGACCCATTCTAGAGCCATGTCCTAGGAGGGGCTTTGGACCTCCCAAACTTGCCTCTGTCCTGGGACACCCAGTTTTGACCCTTAATGAGGGTGTATCAGCAATTGCAGCAGAGTTTTATTTGATTGCACAGGGAAGGTATCCAACCATGGATCGCCCTCTCCATCTGCAGAAAAGGAGGTTCACCGTATCCTGCAACCTCTTGGCCACTCTCCAGGGCAGCATAGGATTGCTCTCTTAGTTGCCTTGTGTCAGAAAACAAGTACTTAGGGAAGGGTGGATTCAGATTTGCCTCCATGTTAAATCATAGCTGTCAACTTTTCCCTTTTCTTGTGAGGAATCCTATTTGGAATAAGGGAAATTCCCTTAAAAAAAGGGAAACATTGACAGCTATGTGTTAAATAGATACCAAGGTGGAATGTAAAGATCATGTATGCCTGCCCTCATAGCAACATGAGCATAAATCATCACGGATGCACAATAAAAGGAGTGGTTGAAGAGGCCCTTTGACAACTTGCATAAACCTCATTCTTAAGTTATCCTGGTGCTTTAGTTGATAGGCTGAAAATATATAAAGACAGCCAGGGCTTCTGTATCACTAATAGAATCATAGAATCACAGAGATGGAAGGGACCACAAGAGTCATCTGGTTGCACTGCTGGAATCTTTTGCACCACAAGGGACTCAAACCCATGACTCTGAGATTAAGAGTTCCGTGCTCTACCGAGTGAGCTATGAACCAACAGTGAATGTTGGTAGCTTCGGCTTCACTGTTGCCTGATAAGGTGGAGCAGCCCAAATATTCTCCTATACATCTACGCAAGGCAGAGGAACCCAGCCCATATTGGCTGCTGCTTGGTGCTGAGAATATAGGACATGGAGGCAGACACTTGTGCTAAATGGGATCCCAAAGAGGTTTGGGTGAGTTTAAATATCAGAAAGTCCACGACAAAGAACAGACCATAGCAGTTTAGTTGTGCTGCCAATGTTTGTGTGTGATCATGCATCAAGTTAAGGGGAATTATTCACTCTCGTCAAGAAGGGGCAAAATATTCTAGAAGCAGTGGTACTGAGTGAGGCTGGGAAGCCAAGGAACAGAGAAGAAAGGGAAAACCGAATCTCACATTTCTACTAACAGTGCAATCCTGCGTAAGTATACATAGTAGTAAATCCCACTGTGTTCTATGAAGTTTGTTCTCAAGTAAGTGTGCATAAGGTATGACAGGCTACATCTTTGGCAGCTGAGCCTCAATGGATAAATACAGTGTTTGTGCACAGACTGAATTTGAGATGGACATGGCTCTTTCAGTTACTGGCATGCCTGTGGCTGCCAAGTCAATATCTTAGGTTAGTGTAAATGTTTGAGTGGCAAGTACCCATTTGCACATGAATCAAGTATTTACAAAGATCCTGTTCTGAATGACATGGAAATATATGTCCTCTGTGTATGTCTTGGCCCTCTACCAAAAAAAGAGTATAGTTTCCTGCTGTGTAGGTACCGAAGTGGAAATGCGTGAGCGTTGTAAACTATAAAGCTCATGAATACAGGAAAAGGCAATCATAAAATGCATGGGCTTCCACAGTTTATATCAGGTTTATGGTACAAATCAAATATATTTACTGGGCAACAGGTTTTATAAAGCTGAATAAAGACAAAAAGTCAACTTGTTCATGTCTGGCATCCTCAAACACCGTAATAAGGATGAGGATAGAGAGGAAACAAATGTGAGATATATTGAAAAATCAGTACTAGTAGAGCAACAACCACCACCAGTAGTAGTAGTAGGAAATAATTGATAGTGATGAATTCTACTACTGTGGTGAATGTATCACAACTGGGTCATCATTAAGGGGAACCATCAAATAGCTGAAGGGAGGAAGTTCCACAGCTAGGGTGCCACTGCAGAGAAGGTCTTATCCCATGTTGCTGCCAAACATATTTTCCCCATAAGCAGGATCACCAACAGGGCATCCAGTATATAAATGATATAAGCCATTCATAGAGACTCTGAAAAATTAACGCCAAGTTGCATGGAATTGCATGAGGGCAGTGAAAATATCCAAAGTTCCCCTATATCAGAATTGCTCTTCACTGCTTCCCAATCACTATAAAGTTTCATAATTCTTCACACGTTTTTACAGCAAATGTATTTTAACAAGCATGCTCCTTAAAATGCTGCCAAACCCGTCAGTCTTACCCTGATGACTGAAGCATTAATTTTCAGGCGGAAGAATATTCATCTATTTTTATCTCGTGGCCACTCGCTGTTTTGATTAACTTATGCTGTAAAAACCAGGATCCCTTATCCCTGAGATTATATTTGTCCTGGATTAAGGCAATTAAATGATAACGATGGTTTTGCTTTCACAAGGCTGCCGCTGACACAGATAAAATCTGACAGATCAGATCTCCGACAATGTAATGGTGTCACAATGGAAGCATTTCTGCTCCACTTACATCTGTGAGGAAAAAGCGACATGATTGTTCAGGAGGAGAGAGAAAAGGGCAGCGTATACTGAAGCATCCAATTAAACCACCTCTTTAAGGCCAGCTTTCTGCTGGTCTGATATCCTTAGGCATGTTATCATAGCTAGGAACCTGTCCAGAGACATATGTGTTGTATTTGGAAGGCACCACACAGGTAAAATCAGTTCACATATGATCGTGCAACATCATAGCAGCAGGAAAGGGCTTGGTCCCTTTCTATGGAGACCTATATCTGAATGCATCCATATTTCCTGAGTCTGATCTGTGAAGTGCGAAAGGCTGTGTTCATTCCACTCCATCATTGTTGTGATGGGTAGGGTGGAGGGAAGCTGTTTCTCTGAAACACTGTCTCAGCATTGGGGAGAGTGTCTGCAAGTGTGTGTGGGTTTGTGTGTGCTGAATATGTGGCGAGTGTGCATGTATCTGTGTCTCTATGGTGTGTGTCTGCACACATGTAAATAAACATTTGCCACAGTTATCACTGGAGGCAACCCTGGTAGAGGTGGGCAACTGGTTAAAAACAAGTTTTGCCGTCCCGGCCCTAAATTGTGATGAAACTTAACTATGGTTTGCTGAAAGGATCCTGTTTCTTAAACTATGGTTTGAAACTAATAAGGTCAGTTTGTTGAGGTTAATCTAGATCAGATCAGAGGTTTTCAGATCAGAGGGAGAGGGGAGAATGGGTGAGGTGAGGCTCATTTCTGCTTGTTCTCTAAATGATAAAATATGATTTACCAAGCCACTACCAAAGGTAACAAATACATAGACACAGTAGCTCACCAGGCCCTGGAGATTTGAATTCCTTTAAAGTATCTAGGTGTTTCCTTACCACCTCTTTTCTTATCTTGAACTGCAGCTGCCTCCTTACAACATTTGTTCTGTTATCACCGGGTTGGGCATCGCTTTCCTTTTGGGTGAAGACAAAGACCAGGAAAGTGTTGAGCAGTTCCACCTTCTCTCTGCCACCCAATAGCATTTCTCGATCTTCTCCATGCAGAGGACCTACCACTTGCTGGTTCTTCTTTTTGCTTTGAACACAGCCAAATAAACCCTTTAAATTATTCTTAACCTCTCTTGCAAGCCTGAGCTCATTCTGAGCTTAAGCCTGCCTCGTATTCAGCCTGCAACTGTTGGCTACCCGTGTATACCCCTTTGCGATTTCCTTTTTCTAACATTTCTTATACTTGCCCTTCTGAAATCTCAGCTCATCTCCTTATGCAGCCACACTGGTTTCTTTAGATGCCTCCTACTTTTCTTCCTTGTTGAATTGTCTGGATTTGTGCCTTCAGTATTTCACCTTTAAGAAACTCCCATCCATCTTGGACTCCCTTCACTTTGAGCATTTCTGACCATGGGATCTCATTCAGTAGGTCCTTAAGCTTTTTGAAATCAGCCTTCGTAAAGTTCAGAGTGCATGTCCAACTGCATTCAGTTCCCTTACCTCTGTATAATGAAACCTAGGAGGACATGATCACTTCCTCCCAAGGTTCACAGTACTTTTACTTCATTAATCAGTTCCTCTCTGTTGGTATGGACCAGGTCCAAGATAAATGATCCATTGTTGCTTCTTCCACCTTCTGGGACATGAAATTGTCAGTGAGTCAACTGAGGAATCTGTTGGATCTTATATTCTTGGCAGAGTTTGTGTTCCAACAGATATTGTGTTCCAACAGATATTGGGGTAGTTGAAGTCTCCCATGATTACTGTATCTCTCATTTTTGAATTTGTGGTGATCTGCTGTAAGAAGGCATCGTCCAAGTCTTCGGTCTAGCTTGGCAGTCTGTAGTAGACATCCACAATTTTTACCCATATACTCTCAGTCTGCCTCTAAGGTCATGGATCTCTTCACAAGTCTACACATCCTTTACTTATAATGCTACTTCTCCTCCCTTCCTGTTTGGTCTATTCCTTTTGAATATGTTATATCCCTCAATTTCTACATTCCAGTCATGAGTCTCATCCCACCAGGTTTCAGTAATGCCTATTAGGTTATATTTGCCATCCTGTATTAAGAGCTCAAATTTGTCTTGTTTCTCACACTCTGTGCATTTGGTTTAGATAGGCCTTTGGTTTCATTCAAGAGGACTCATTTGTTTTCATTGATTGCTTTAGGCCCATTCATCCCTACCTCCAAAATATGTGTTTTTGTGTTGCAGAAAGAATTGCAGCATTATTCTATTTTTCACACCACAGCAAATATATGGTATATTTATTTCCTTGTCATTTATTTCTTAGCAATTGTGATATTACAGTAGTAGAACCAATTATAATACACCAGAGAACAATTTTATCTTTGTGTTAAGACATTTGCTGAAATAATATAGAAAAGAAAACTAATGCATTGATTTCAATCTATACCAAAGCCTAGGTTTAAAAAATTGCTTCAATTTTAACTTTGGGGTGTATGTGTGTATATATATATAGTAATGAATTTTGAAATATGGTTGCTATCTTAATTTATATAGACTAAATTGTGGTAGTGGCTCTGTTTTTAAATTAATATGGCTCAGAGAGGACTAGAAATATTGAGTTAATTTCTTTTATCTCTATTATTTTCTTTTGCTGCTCCACTTAGTTAACAGAGCTGATACATTTAAGCAATTAAATACACCAGTCAGTTGCATTCAGATTTTCTCTATGAATGGCTTCAATATATATTTCAGATTCTGCTCCCAATTTAAAAAAGAAGATAAAGAACAAGTTTTTCAGTCCCCTAGGATACAACCTATAAAGGACAGGTTCATAAGGTGTGAATCAATTTATGAATCATATATTAGCTTAGGCATAAAATGCATGTTTGCCAATATACATAGTAGCTCTATTTCCAGTTTTGGTTGAGGTCTTCAGATTTAATAAAACAGGCATTGATTAGAGTGAATGTATTTCTATAAAACAAATACACTGGTATTTTGTAAAGGGTCTTGCAATCTAAAATTTGTTTAATACATGAAAGTTGTGGAGGATAAGTAGCGTAAAACACACTGTCTTAAAGCAGTTCTACATAGTTTGAAGAAGGAACTGTCATCCAGCCCACACACCAACATCACTCTCAGTCTATGCAGTCTAGGTCACATTGTGTCACAGGCTAACACATGATCCAGCAGAGCAAAGAGTTCCAGATTCCTCAAACAAGCAAGTAAAGCGGCATGTTGCAGGAGAAGGCAACTTTCCATAGATTCTCTAATCAAGACTGGCTCCACAAGCACAACCTGCTACCTATGACTCAGCCCCTGTTGCTAAGCTCAGGACTC